GTCCTCGTGCACGCGCGCGGTGCACGCATGCGTCCTAGCGTCTACGCGACGCTTCAGCTGCTCCTGGACGATCGCGCAGGCGCTGTATGCGTCCTGCGCATGCATGGAAGCGCAGAACTCGTCAACACCAGGAAAGGACCGCGGGCGGGCGGGCACTTCGCCATTCCCGGAAGTTACTTACTTCCGGGTTCGGCGACCAACCGGTTCGCAGGGACCGCCGCGAACCGGTTGAAACCCACCCGATATACACACATATATATATACATACATATACACATACACCAGGTTGAAATGAATCTGTAGATAGAAGACAGAGGAGTTGGCTTATAAAGGCCGATGGTCTTTATGGATGGTGTATTTTTCTTCCGCTGAACATCATTTCTTCACAGGACTTGTAAGCAAAATATCTGCATGCCGTGACCTCCCCCGTGTCATTGTCTTCCTCTACAGATAGAAACCTTGCAGCAACTTCAGAAGGACACAGAGGCCATCCAAAGCAGATATGCCCATTACTTCGATCTGGTCCTGGTGAACAACGGTGTGGAGGAGAGCCTCGAACAACTGCAGGCAGCTTTCGACCGGGCATGCAGCTCCCCACAGTGGGTGCCCGTTTCTTGGGTGTATTGAGCTGGCGGCACCACTTAAGGCCGCCTCATTGCAGCATGTCGAGGACAGTAAAAGGATCAGCCTCTTCCCTGCTCTACGCTTCTGCCCAATACGCAACCTTCTCGGAGCTGCCCCATCGCCTGTTACTGCCAGGACGAAGAGTCCAGTCCTCCCAGCTGCAAATATCCCCAGAAGAGCATCTGTGTGCGCGGCTTGCTCCTCCTTTGTTCTGTATTTCCCATTTCTTTGCAGATGTTAGCAGCAGGGGACGGTCCCAGAATATACCGCTCTTCGGCTATCAATAAGGTTTTAAACAGGGATACTAGAAACACATTCTAGGTAAAAGCCATAATGCCGTGAATGTTAAGAGCTGTGTTTTCATGCCAACACATTTTCCTGTCTTTCTGTTCTTTTTCCCCATTTGTGACAAGAAGCGCCATCCAAACCTCTGCATGAATGAGATTTAACTCCCTTCACTCATTTTTTGAGGAAGGGCAGAGAACTCTGAACTGATGTTGGACCTCCTGTTCAACTAGCCTTTTTTTTTTTTTGCCTCCGTCACAAAGTGTTTGTTCTACCACTGCACCCAAGCACATCAGGAGGGGTACGGCCCTCAATACCTTTGTAACTAACAGGGATAAGCAGAAGGGAGCATGGATGACCAGGTGTTAAATCCCATGCTCTTGAGGATGCCAAAAAATATATATATATGAAACAAACATGCAATAAAAACATTCGGTTGAATCCATTACAGGGAAAACTTAATAAGCAGCAATAAAATATGATTCAAAAACATGGCTCACGAGTCTGTTTTTTATGAACATTGGAAACTGAAGGTAGATTTTGACGCTGTAGGAGGGGAATGTTAGATCATGGCGGAAGAGAACTGAAAACGATAGCAATGTTAACGGACCAACAAATTTTACTAAACGGCACAAAACTGTTGCAAGCCAATGAAATTTATAGCAGCTTGCAGAGTCCAAGGGATGCTATCGAACTCCCGAAGAAGCGTAGAATAGTTCCTCTTGGTTAAGACACATTGCAGTTAGCTAAACCAGCAAACACTGTGGCAGTGTTTCTCACTCTTGGAAAATTCTAAGGTGTGTGAACTTCAAACTCCCAGAAACTATGGCGATACTACCGTTCTCTTCTCAGCAACATTAATACAACAAATCTTGCTGATGAGATAGTCAGTCTTTTCTTAATGACCAGTTGCTTGGCAACTATATGAAGTTACGACCGACTACACCCCATCCAAAAAATAGTACCGACGACCTGATTTGGGGAGTTTAAACAGCCCTCCTGCAGTCACACTTCATTTTGGATGCTTGGCAATTGGATCACTTTTCTAGCCAACTGTAATGTGCCACAGTGACACAAATCATTTATTTTTCCTTTTTTGCTAAAAGCTGGTCTTTTCTGCCCCCCAAATTGCTCATAGAAATACATTGTCTTGCTTAATGACCATGGAGTTTCTTTTAACCAACATTGTAAAAATAAAAAAAGGTTGTGAAATTGGGTTGGTGCCTCAACTTACGATGGGAATTCCAGGCTCTGTGATGGTTGTAATTTGAGGGCGCCAACATTATATTCTGAGAACGGGGGGGGGGGGG